TGCTTCTCAACTGTAGGTGCTCCAGACTTGCTCTCTGTCACTAACACTAAATGTACATTTTTTTTTCTCATTGTCATCAAACATCAAAGAGAAATGTATGTACCTTTCTGTAAATTCTCTTTAATTTCTCAGCAAAATCTAAAAGGGGAAGGAAAAAGCCCATGAGAATTAAAACTTACATGTTTTTAGCCAGTGAGGAGCTAATGAACCCTGCTAATAGGAGGTGTGTTTTCATGCAAATTATACTTCTGAGCTTACGAGCTTCTAATTATATCTTAATAAATATATTTTATTACTAGAGAAAAATGGGTTTTTAGGGAAAATAATGTGAAATTCTGGAAATTTTGTTTTGGGCAGAGAAGAACATAAGCCATGTTTTATCACATTGCCATCCTGTTGCACTGCAGCTTGTGTATAGCATGCTAAAATAAACTTTGTGTGAGTGAAGAAAAAAAAAATCACCAACAAAGTAAAAAGAAAACCCACAAATTGAGAAAAAAAATATACAGACTGTCCCTCAGACAAAGGACTCCTATCTATAACATATAATTAAAAAAAAATCAGGCCTTGGAGAATCAAAGACCCAATCCAAAAATGGGTGTCTGAACTGAATATACACTTCTCGGAGGAAGAAATGCAAATGACAAATAAATGCATTAAAAAATATCCAACATCATTGGGCATTCAAGAGACACAAATGAAAATGCTGAGATTCTATCTTCCACCAGAAAGAATGGCTATTATCAAGAAGTCAACCAAAAAGCAAATGCTGGAGAGGCTGTGGGGTAAAAGGAATCCTTCTCCACTGTTGCTGGAAGTGAAGACTGGTACAACCATTATGGAAATCACTATGAAGATTCTTCAAAAAGCTAGGATTGGAGGTCCCATTCAAGCCAGCAATTCCCTTCCTAGATATTTTTCCAAAAGAAATGAAATCATCATACCACAGCAATATATGTGCACCCATGTTTATAGCGACACAACTAGTTATAGCTTGATCTTGGAAACAGCCCAAATGTGCACCAACTAAACAATGGATAAAAAGATGTACTATATTGATACAATTTTTATGATTGTTACACAATTGGACATTACTCTGTTCTAAAAAAAATACATTTGAGGCTTTTATATATAAATGGAGGCAACTAAAGACTGTACTGATAAGTGAAATAAATCAGACCTGCATATGTAAACATTATATTGTCTCACGTGAGAACCTGAAAGAGTAAATAAAATTAGATAAATACAATAGATACTATGAAAGGTAACACATTTGTTCAATGTGAAGGAAAAACTGAGATGAAGAAAAAGATGAAAGAAGGGGAAAAACTTACGTATGTATATATGCAGGATAGTTTGGATAATTGAACCACTGATTTCTGCTGGTCTATTGAAAGGAGTAGTTAATGCTTAAAATTTATCTTATTTTTTTTCTTCTTAATTTCTTATAACTTTCTTTGTGTTATTTTGTTCTTTTTTTTAACAAATTTTGCAGGCTTGTATCTGGTAACCTAAACAACTTATTTGAAGATAACAACATTCAATATAGCAATGATTATTGAATTCCTATTGCTTTGTTTAATGAAATTTGCATCATTTCTAATTCTTTTTCTTACTATTTTATATTATTCAAAAAAATTAAATAAAGTCAATAGTATTTGTGTACACTAATAATGAACTCAATAAAAAGCTAATTATGAAAATAACACCATTGACAGCAACATGATAAATGAAATATCTAGGCAATAATATAACTTCAGTGGTGAAATGACTGTATAAAAGCACCATAGTACTTTGGATAAATATTGAAGAGAATAGCAGAAAATGGAAAGTTGTCCCCAGTTCCTGAAGAGGCAGAACCAGTGTTATGGCATATGTCTAGATGTCTCCTGAAAGCCTCACACTCTCTTAGGTGGGGCATTACAGAAGTGGCTGGATTTAGGCTGTGTGAAGGGAGATTAAGGGTGGGATACTGAGATTGAATGTATGAGTGATGGAAGCACTACCTGGGTATGGTTGTTAATAATCAATAGACTTGCTTCCTAGATGAAATGTAAAAAGATTGATAAAAGCAAAGTCCTTGCCATGGCTTCTGCCACTGCTTCTCGCTATCCTCTACCCACTACACCATTTATGATTTCTCCTCTGTACTGTTCCACTGGCATACTGCCTCCCCTGGAAGCCAGCCAGCTATGGATTGAAACTTCTTCTCCAAACTAGAGGCTGAAATAAACCATTCCTCCTTTAACTTTGGGTATCTGGTATTTTTTTCTCTGCAACAAAAATATAACTAAGAAGACAATCGTCATTGTCTGATGGTCATATTCCCAATTCAGTCCCACTAAAATGCAAACATCATACTTTACAGGTTGAGAGAAAATAATCCAAAAATTCATATGGAACCAGAAGAGCTCTAGCTTATCCAAAACAATCTTGAGCAACACAAGCAAAGCATGAGGCATAACATTCCTGACTTCAAGCTGTACTTTAAAGCCTCAATAATAAAAATAGCACAGGGTCAGAACAAAAACAAATAAATGGAACAAAGTAGAGGATACAGAAAAGTTCCAGACAGGTTCAGCTGTTTAATCTTGAAAAAACAGTCAAATGCTCTCATTGGAGGAAACAGCCTACTCAACAAATGGTCCATGGAAAACTGACTATCTATTTGGAGAAAATAGAAAATGGACCCATATCTATCACCATTTACTAAATGAAAACCAAAATAGGTCAGTGATCTGAACATTAAGAGAGAGACATGAAACTACTGGAAGACATAAAGGTAAAGCATCTTTGTTTGTCAAGGTGTAGTTTAAAAGGTTCATGAGAGAGACTGCTTTGGTGTAAATGACAGATTTTCCTCCTCCATGGACAAACTTTAGATTGTTACTTAAGTACATCTGATGCAAACAAGAGAGAAACTGAAATCAAGTAGAAACTGCAGGTGCTGAAAGCTTTGGAGCTGCCCTTGGTATAGGTGATATGGACGATAATGTAGAGATAAAACCATAGAGATAAAGATGGGTGAACATGGTACAGTTATGCCCAACATGTTATCAGCTCACTGACATAGGTGCTGATGCAAGACAGCTATATCACGGGGTAAATGTCTCAGGAAAAGTAGTTGATGATGTTTACATATCCCATGTACAACATGGCACCAGAAAATGTCATCAGGTATGAACAAGAGTAAGACTGCAACATACTTTAGGACACCTGGCAAAATTATACAAAAGTGGATTACAGATGGCCACACAGTAGTGATCATAAGATTTAGACATCAGCATATAGCACTAAGAAATCATATGTATATACATATATATATATGTCATATATCCCATATAAGTTATAGCTTTCTTTAATATGTAGTTTGATAGCATTTAGGATGAAAACACAGAGAGAAAAAATACATAATTAAACAGGAAAAAAGTACACAGGGTTTGAAAGTATAAACTCAACCCAATAGAGAAAGCTCAAGTTTCCCAATATAGTGAACATATGCAATACTAGACATAAAAACAAGAGGGTATTGTAAGATTACACTGGTTTGTTAACTCCACAAGAATGAATTAAGTCACAAAAGGGCCTTTCACAGGAGATATTCTTCTCCAAATCAGTGGAGCACAGGAAAAACAATAATGCAGTAGAGAAAAATTTGGCCCTCCCAATCTACTTCTTCCCTTGTGCATGAAATGCATTCTAGAAAGGCCTGAAAGTACACCCAGAAAGTCCCCCAGAATCAGCCTGTGTACAGCACAACTGCAGAAAAGATTCAGTGAGACTGAAAAGTAAAAGATGACCTCTGGAGAAAACACAGCATAACAAAGAATTCATAGAACATAATTTTCCTCATCATATCTTCTATCCTTAGATCCCTCCGTGGTAAACAAAGCTAGAGGCAGGGGCCTTTATAAACTGGCGCTGGCTTTTAATGCAGATTAGACTCTGGTGGAGTGAGAGCCAAAGCATTATTTTATAATTCAAAACTAAAGCATTAAATTCTAAGAGAGGTTATTTATTGTTCCATGACACAGAAAAAGGAATATATCTGGGAGAGTGAGAGCTCTTCCATGGAAAGAAAAGTATTGATGGAGGTGCTATGATACTTGTCTACATTAATATCTTCAAGCACTCTCTGAGGCCTGGAGCACTGTCTTTTGTTAGTTTTCTTGAGTTGTAGGATTTTGGGAAAGAGGAGATTGTTGACATGGATTAGGGTGCTGGCCTTCCATCTTATACTAAGGACATCAATATACATGAAAATCAGAAATGTCATTCTCATTCCAGACCTAGGGCTTCTTGATCCTGTGTTTTTATCCTTTATTCCTGCATTTGGAGAAATCACTATGCGGTTCCAACATTTATTGTCTTGTGATTCTGGGAGAATGCAATGACAACTCCATTTCTGATATACCTTGGAATTTTTTCTCAGTATGTCATGATTTGTTATGAGGACATTGGCCATCTAGCATCAGAGAAAGTCTTTAATATTAGTACATTTGTCACTTATAAGACACAGAGGATTTAATGTGATTGTCTCTATCAAATCCCTTGATTATAAATGAAACATAGGGATATGCAATCTTTTCCCCAGAGAACAAATGCTAGGTGTGAATATGATGTAAGGAGATTGTATTTACGTCCAAGCCCATGCTCTGTTTTTAGCACCTGAGACCCTCACGATTTTACTCAAGTTCCCCTTCATCCTAGACTGTGCATCCTCCAAGTGAGAGGCAATGATAAAACGCCATCTCCCCATTAGTTTTAGCTCTGTAAGAATTCTGCTTGGGTTCTTTCGGTCTTTTTTCATGCATCCTAAACCAATGTCTCCCACATTGTTGCTTCCAGACTTCCTCACTTCTATTACTAAAAACAGAGAAAGGTCCATTGGGCCACTAAAGGTGTATCAACTGCAATCACCTCAAAATATCTTTCAATGACTTATGTTCCTCGTACTTGTAAATATTCTATGGAATTTCTACCTGAGTGTCTTGCTCAGTCTTCAAATAGAATTCAGTCATAAGATGATCAGTTCCTTCATCATAGAAAAAGTAGATGCCATGACATTCAAAGATCTGTTTTAATCTCTCCTCCTCACCATGTTTATTAACCATAATACCTTGGGTATCTTGTTGAACCTCTCTGGGCTTGAAATTCATAATTTCTAAAATAGTGATAGTGATAGTTGTATCTCATTTGTTGCTGCTTGGTACAATTAAATAAGATACTATAAGTCAAATGAGTACCCTATTCCTAGAATATGGCAAATTGTCAACAAATATTAGCTGTCATTGGGCATAACTCCTAGTACATTTCTATGATAATTCTTATCAGACATTTCCCACTTTATCTTTCATATTTCTCTAAGAACTCTTATGATCTATAAGGATAACGATCACATTTTTCTTATTTACTACTTTCCTCCCAGTAATAAGTTCACTATGGAAGATCTAGTAAGAACTTCTGAAATATTTATGGAACTTACACTTTTTGACCGAACAACTCTAACCTTTCCAACATTTTGGGAATACAGGTGATATGGCCACAACGACTTCCATCACTTTTCCTCTGTGACAACTCATGCTGAACCACATTTTTAACAAAACATCTAGAATAAACAAATGTATATTCAGAACACAAATTGACTGCATCCCTACTTCCCAGAGCATTTAATTCTGAAGCATACTAATGAACTTTACTGCCCAAGATATTGACCCATATATATCAGATCAATTAATGTTATGGATAGTGCATGAGTAATTTAATGAGAAAATCATAAGCTTTTCAAAGTATTAACTTAGCCATGAGTATATAAGTGATGCAAAGAAATGAGTTAATGTTGTAATCATATACGTTATCAACGTGATATGCGGATGGTAAACAAATATGTCAAATAATGTCACTAGTCATTCAGGAAATGAAAATTAAACAGAAATCAAATAGCACTACAAAACTAGTAGATGAGCTAAAGACTTTTTAAAAGAACTCTTAGTACTGGTGAGTATGCAGAAAAACTGGAATTCTCACACATTACTAAATAGATGTAAAATCAGTCTGTTCAAAATAGTGCAACACTTTTTTCTACAATTGCCTTTATGCAAGTATTTATAGAAAAGAAAGGAAAACACACACAAAAATGTGCATTTGTATTTATAGTAGTTTTATTATATTTTATCATACAAATGGATAAATTATAGTATATCCATACAATGAACACTACTCATGAATAAAGAAGCATCAGTGGTGAATACACTTAACAAAATGGATGAATCTGAAATTCATTAAGTTACAAGAAAGTAGCTAAACTAAAACAGTGCATTATGTGACCACACTTACCTAGAATTGTGATAAATACAAAACCACAGCAACAGAAAGGAAGGCAGTAGGTGCTAATAGATGGTTGGAGGTTTTGACTACAAAGAAGATAAGGAAATGTCTTGAATTTAGTGATGGTTATTCTGTTTCCTGTGTTTTACACAAAATTATTCACTAAATACTGTGACTTTTTACTCTTTGATAATAAAGAAAATTTAAACACATGTATATATTTCCATTTTAGATCTTCACATTGACTAGGATGCCTAAAATAGTCTATGTTGATTCAATATGTACTTCAGTGTGAAAGTGAAATCAGTTTTATTCACTATGTTAAAATATGCACTACAATGACTATAAAGAAACAAATCAAGGTAAATACTAGGCATTCAGACTTTGTTTGAAAAATTAAGTTATGAATATATTATAACAGTTACATTAAATATTAGTGTCAGGCCTGACCTGAGAGTGACTAGAGAGAGACCTGGGGTTCCCACTACAAACAACAGACTCCCCCTACTGACAATGGCTTGCCTTCTGCAAACATGAAGTAGGGACAGTGGAAACATTTAGGTTCAGACTTGGAGTCATCATGGCGCCAGCTCTATCTGCACACCTGTGCTGATTTTCCGTGCAGTTTTGACTTCAAACAATTCATCCAGAACCCTTGATGTTAGGACTTCAATTCTAAACTCTATATAGGTAGCCTCCCCTCCAGATAGCTGCTAATATTGCTCAGTTGTCACCTTGCATTTTTGTAGTTGGGCAGTATATATACATATAGATGGCTAGTCCTCAATACTCATACACAGGAAGGATTTCTACAACTGGAGGATGGGGTAGAAGGTAATGCTGTTTTCCTTTTTCTTTTTGTTGATAGAACTTGAAGTTACCAGTTAAGATAAACTCCTATTATGTCTTTCCTCCATCCATCCTCTAGCCTGTAACTAAAATTAGGGCATATCAGTATTAATCTGCAACCACCCCATAGACTGTTGCTTTGCCATAGTCACCTTAGCTCAGGGTATTAGCAACATTTTCAGGCTTATGCTGCAATAATTCTCTAGAATTTTTCTCTGCTCCTTCACAGTGTTTTTTTTCTTCCTCCCATTGTTCATAGAATGCACAACTGGTTGAAAGACTGGACTTTGCATCATTAACTGTGTGGCTATAAGCAAGTGACACAACCATCACCTCATTGAGAGAGGATAAAATGACATCATTAATGGAAACTTTAAAGAGCATGACTCCCAGCATGAGCCATTGGGTTAAGTTATCTGTCCAAGTGGCAAAAGAAAGAAGACAACTTTAAGTCCCAACTGGGCAAGATTCATTCCATATAATTTATGCGTGTTTAAAGGGATGACAACAGACTTTGTCTTACAAAACACAATCTTTGTTATGTAGTTGAAGAAATAAAGAATCTGAGCATCACATCTGACACAGTGCTCACTAGCAAGGAATACCACTGTGTGATTCTGACACAAACCACAGATACATGGACAAACTGATGCTCTCAGTTGGATGTATTAAAAAATACCATTTGACCAACATATTATCTTTGCTAGTGGCATTTGAAAAAGTTCAGCACTGTCATAATCCTCATCCAGCCTCATATGTCCACAAGCATAAAAATCTTAGTTTCAGATAACAATTTCATTGGAGATATGAAGCTAAAATTCTCAAAATATCCACTATCAAAAAATGCTAAGAAATTCTGGCAATACTTACCAGTTCTACAATTTTTTTTCCTTTTTGTTTTAATGTAGTTATAAGCACTAGAGCATCTGAAACAGGAATAATTTTATAATTTTTTCTTTGGGAGGAGGAGACATATTTTAAAAAGTGGGTGGTGTTATCTATATAGAGAGCAAAAGTTATCATCCCTGTGTCTTTCTCTTGAATTACGAATAGACACTAGCTTGGAAGCACCTTAGAACTGAGATTGAGTCTCAAGTCTAAGAACAGGCACTTGTGTCATTGCATGATGGGCAAAGAGGAGAAAGCTAGTACTATAGAATTCCCATCCACATGGTAGAAATAAAGATGAAGAGAAGAGGGAAAAAAGAATAGAAGGAGGTGGACAAGACCCAGAAATGAAGAAAATGACCCAGAAATGTGGGCAGGGTCCCAGGCAGCTTCACTGTTCACTCAGTTTGTGCTTCTCTTCAGGGCTTTATTCAGAGCAAGTCTGACATCCTTATTCCTGAGACTATAAATGAGGGGGTTCAGCATGGTCACCACAAGTGTATAAAACACTGAGAAAAACTTGCCCCGGTCCACTGAGCTAGCAGATGATGGCTTGATGTAAGTGAGTATCCCTGAGCCATAGAACAGGCCAACAGTTATTATGTGGGAACCACAAGTACTGATGGCTTTGGATGAAGCCCTAGCAGATGATATATGAATGATATTAAAGAGAATCAAAGCATAAGAGATGAAGATAATGAGGCTAGAAACTATGATCACTGTGCCCACAACAACAGAACTCAGAAGCTCATTGACATAGGTGCTGCTGCAGGAGAGCTGGAGCAGGGGGAGGATGTCACACATGTAATGATTGATGATGTTGGAATCACAAAAGATGAGCCTGATCATACATCCTGTGTGAAGCATGGCACCAGCAAATCCCATCAGGTAGGAGCCAAACATCAGCAGAGAACAGGTTCTAGGGGATATGATGGCTGTGTACTGGAGGGGCTGACAAATGGCCACATAGCGGTCATAAGCCATAGCTGTCAGTACGTAGCACTCAGAGTTGACAAAAAAGCAAAAGAAGAATAGCTGAGTCATACATGCTGTATATGAGATGATGTTCCTCTCTGAAACAAAGCCCATCAGCATTTTTGGAGTACAGACAAATGAATAACATAAATCAATAAAGGACAAATTGAAGAGAAAAAAGTACATGGGTGTGTGAAGGTGTGAGTTCAGGAAAATTAGGTTAATTAAGCTCAAGTTTCCCACAACAGTGACTATATTGTTCACCAAGAACAAGAAAAAGAGGGGCAATTGTAGCTCAGGCTTGTCTGTCAATCCCATCAGAATAAATTCCATCACTGAAGAGTTGTTTTCTATATTCATTTCCTTCATAGTTCTGCAGAAAGAGAAGACGACAGTGATATTAACAATAAATCTTCAGAGAGGGGAGTGGGAGAGAGAGAGAGAGACAGACATACAGACAGTCAGACAAAGAGACAGAGACAGATAGAGAGAGACAAAGACTGAAAAATTGAGAGAGAGAGAGACTGCTTTACAAGTTGTCTGACAACATGCACAAGGCCTCTAAAGAGCAGGCTTCCTATACTGATTTCTGAGGAATCCTGATTTTCTACTTATCCCTCTATATAGTGTCTCTCCTCTTTCCAGAAAGCATTCTGGTAAATCTAACAATACGTCTGAATATTATTGCCTCACTTCAGTCTTCACTGTAGGTGAGGGCTGTGAAAAGTAATAAATAAGGGGTGTTCCCACAAACCCATGATTTATATAGTTTGACACGTAAAGGTCAGGATGCTCACCTTTACACTAGAGATCTCCCTGTTCTGGGATCTGAAGGATCCTTCCTCTCCAATGTCCTGAGATGCATGTAGTCAAAGTGTTTGATGTTGCAGGAGGTAATGGCCATCAGTGCATATATACACATTAGAGGAGTATTCTGGGCAATAAACCATAGTTTTCTAGGACTTCTCTAAAAAGTTCTTTTCATTTGCAAGAAAGAAAACAACAATCTTATATGAGCTCCCAAAATATTACCTCACTCAAATGAGAATCTATGAGACCTATAGTTCCATAGCAAATGGTGAGCTGCACGGAAAGGAATTCTCTTTTTGCCACTTCCTCTTGAGTTCAGTGAGCCCCTTGAGGGTCCAAATCACTAAGCATGTGTTTACATCCTGTACTACAAACCTAACATTGGAGATTTACTTATAGTTTTACCTGAGTTAAATTTACCATCAGGAATACCTAGTCTCCTGGGCAGAGAAGCAGATAGCCCACTTTGTAACTGTCTTCATCATGTCCTGAAGAGCTCTATAAGAAGGTTGAGAGCATAGCCATTTGCTATTCCTAGTATGTTCCTACAAGCTTTGTGACTTCATTAATAAATATTAAGCTAGATCATAGTTTTAAGACTGTATGTGCTTATGAATTTCACCCCAATAATGGGCTACTGTAGCAAAAATCTTTTTTTTTTTTTTTTTTTTTTTTCGGAACCAGGGATTGAACTCGGGCCCTTATGCTTGCCAGGGAAGCGCTTATTCTACTGAGCCATCTCCCTGGCCCCAAAACAATCTTGAAAGAACAAGAACAGTTAGCCAATATGTCTGAGTTTAAATCTCAACTTTTGAACTCCCCAAAATGCAACTATCAGTAAGTGATAACTCTCTGACCATTGTTTACATATATGTATATTTATATCTATATATACTTGTGTATATCTATAAAATGATGCTCATCAAAATATTTCCCTTTGGGATGTCATGAAAATTAAATGTAATGATTCACACAAAGTATTGGAATTGTGATATATTCAATGAACTTGCAAAAGGAGCTGAAAAGCAGGCAGGAGAAGCTATCTTACCTTCAGACAAAGTGAACTTCAAGCAAAGCTGATCATGAGATAATGAATATCAACATATATGGTTAAAAGGAACAATTTATAGGAAGAGATTAAAGACTGTAAATGTAATGACTGGATGCTGGCATACCCAGTATCCTGAAGCAAAAATTGGATACGAAAGTTCAGATGGAAATTGACACAATCATAGTGGGGAAATTCAATATCACAGTCTCGTAACTAAGTCAACTTGGCAAATGCGACAAGAAAAATAAGAGTTGGACCACTCTACCAAACAAATGGAATTGAGTAATATCTGCACAGTGTTTCCTCTAACAATAATAGAATAGACATTTTCATCAAAAGCACAAAGAACGTTCTCTGAAATAGAATGGAAATGCTCAAGGTGCAATATGTATATGTAACAGTTCTCAAAAATGAATGTCACTACATGTATTGTAAATATATACTATTAAAAATCCCAATTCTCCTATACTAACAATTGAATTAAATAAAGTGGAAGTCAGTGCTCTTAAAGAATTGTTGTTTTTTACTACTGAACACTAAAAGACTTCAGTGTTTTCAGTAATGAGAGAAGGGAAAATGAACAGAGAGCGCAAAAAAATTACTACTGATTCTTTGAGCCATTTCAATTTTAGTTCAGTGCACGCTGATAAACATAAGTCTAGTTTTAGTCCTTAGCATGTCAAAGCCAGTTTTTCCAGCACTGCATTCAAGAGGCTTTTACTTCCAGTGAATGTGTTTGTCTCCTTTGTCAAAAATAAGGGGGCTGGTGGGGCTGGGCAGATAGCTTGGTAGTCTAAGCACCTGCCTGGCAAGCAGAAGGTATCAAGTTTGAACAACAGCCCTATATGCGATGCGTGCCCCAGAAGCCTGGGTTTGCCTTGCCAGCCACTGAAACTGGGCATGGTGGCACATGCCTGTAATCCCAGTGCTGGGGAGGCTGAGACAGGGAGGTCACCATGATTCTGAGTTCCATAGCAAGACCCTATACCAAATAAATAAATAAATAAATAAATAAATAAATAAAGGCAGTGTTATAATTTTTGAGCATTTTAATATTACACTACTTTTGAAGGCTTTCATTTCATTTGTAAAAAGTTCTGCTTCACCTTCATTGTATATATTCTGTGGAATGACTTTTATCTTTTAATCAATTTAAATCCTGTCTAAATCAAAAATTCACATCAGAGGGAGCTATTTCCCTAGATTGCTGTGAAAATCTTCATTTCCAGTGGAGAACATTTTTATTCGGGGTTAGTGACCTATTTAGACCACAGAGCATATTTGCTAGTTTATAGAGATGGTTCACATATTTTTCTGGTCTCACTGTGACACTTGTAGTGTAGAAGACAACTCTTATTGATGAAAATTAGAATCTGTAAGAAAGCTTTTCACATAACACCCAATATGCCTCCATGCTTTGTCACAAGTTCTATCCTAAAATATCTACAGAACTGAAGACCTCACAAACCATCTGAGGCAATACATTTCTCCCGTATGTGGACCACTGTTAGCATGGTCAGTGCCTAAGTTAAACCCAGCCACTGTGCTTCTCCGTGCTACCTCTACTATCACATTGTAAGAGTTGCCTGGAAATTCTCTCTTAACGTTCATAAGTATAATTTTTATTACTTATTAATGCAAAATTGTCACAGAATAGATCTCTAGAAATTTGTCAAGGCTTGAAGAAGATGAAAGAGCCTTAAATAGATCTATTGTTTTTTGTCCAGGCCATGCAAAAAAAGAGCATACTCACTATGTACATCATGGGTGTCTGCTACATTTTCTGCCTGTCTAGGTTCATTGATTATTAAGAATAACAAATACAGCCAAGTAATTGACTTTAATACATAACAATTGCTGATCTTTTCTGATCAATGATGCAGCATTGGTCTTTGAATATGAAGAACCAGGGTCAGAAAAAGCCTATGTCCTCGGGGCCGGGGAGATGGCTCAGTGGAATAAGCGCTTCCCTGGCAAGCGCAAGGGCCTGAGTTCAATCCCCGGTTCTGAAAAAAAAAAAAAAAAAAGCCTATGTCCTGTGCCCTGTCACTGTGATGACAGCAGGATAGAGAAGATCATTTTCTGAATAACCTACAAAAAAGATAGGGCCCTGGAGGCATGGTGTGCCTCCATCGTCTCTTACAGGAATTTTCTGCCTATAATTTATGGTTCTTTTAATTGAATAGGGAGCATGACAAGAGGGTAATTCACATGTCCCTGCCTGATTCAATATGGCTGATTTCACACTAGATCCAGCTCAGGAGAAATATAGCTAGTTTGTGGAATTCTCACAAGTGAAATATGCCCATGAATATTTTTGAATTTCTGCACTCATGGGTGAAAAAGGATCTAGGACTTTGTGTTCTATTGCTTGGCTGACTGAAAAGTGAGAGTTTACTTTTGGCTGCGCCTCAGTGGATGTTGAGTCCCTGTAGAAAAGGGAAAGGGAAAGCACAATATTAAGTCCCTGATGAACAACAGACAAATTATGGTTCATGTTACTAATACAATTGCTTCCCATTAAACCTAGGCTCTGTTCCCTGGAGATGACCCTGACCAATTTTGTTTCTTTATTAAGCAAAGTGCATTACATCTTTACTTTCACATGACATATTTTGTGTCTTGTGAAATGGATAAAATTGTTAATCACACCTATTTGCTCTGCTACTTTAGAGGCTCATGTCATAGTACTATATTATTATCTAGAGTCCTCATAAAGATCTCAGAACACACTGAAACCGAAGTGTAGTCTGCAAATGATCTTTCAGGACCTAAGAGGTAAGTTAAGTAAGCACTAAGGAAGAACCAAGGTATCCTGGCCTAACAAATTTGAGTTCCTAAATTCTACTTATATAAATCTCTTTCTTCGAGATTGAACTTCACGGATTAAAGATATTGTTCTTTTGGTGGTGAGCAACCTAAGGGGCACATGTTATTTATTTTGCCTTTTTTTAAAAGATGCTAATGTATGAGTTATTTTTTCTAAATAAAAGCCTCAGTAGTATGGTTTAATTGCAGTGTTGGAACCTTGCAACTCTGGTGCTCTCAACGTTCTATATTGTGTATTCCTGAGATTCAAGTGAAAATGTCCCAGTAGCATAGAGTTCAGAGAAATTAGGGAGCCCAAGGGCATGCTATCACTGTCAGTAATTTCCCCACTATGGATAGAATTCTCTTTTGAATTTAATGATAACTCTTTAATCAATTCCTAGACTCTAGTTCTTGTTTTTTCTCTTAGAAACAGTGTTTTAGTAGTCACATATCCCTGTCTAATCAGTCAATCACCAGGTTGCCAACACCTCTGCCTGAGTTTTTATTGGTGGGATAAGGCTCAGGTGAAGAAAGAAGTGAGATGAGAGCAAGATTATTCTCTCTTGCTACATCTGTCTTCTTCCTTATCCCTTGGGTTTTCAGAAATCATCTATCCATGAGCTTGAACAGGCAGGACAGGCATTCATGGTATGGATAGACTTGGTGGTGTACTTGGCAATACATATTTGTTATGTGTTTTATAAGAAAACATTCACTCATCAGGCTGGGTAGAAATCTTAGGAGCAAAAGCAGATTCTGTGGGTCCGGTTTGGGAAGTTCTCTTAACCCAAAGATATCCCATGTTATGTGAAAAAATATTAGGAGAACAGTTGAGTGTCCTCTAACCTTATGTCGTTTACCTGTGTCTCCCATTTCTCTCATAGAAGAATGGACCCTGAGAATAGCACTTCTGTGAGTGAATTTATTCTCCTGGGATTAACGGAGCAGCCAAGTCTCCAACTCCCCCTGTTCTTCCTATTTCTAGTAATGTACATAGCAACTGTGTTGGGAAATTTGAGCTTAATAACTCTAATTGGGTTAAATTCACACCTTCACACTCCCATGTACTTTTTTCTCTTTAACTTATCTGTCATTGACCTCTCTTACTCTTCTGTTTTTTCACCTAAAATGTTGGTGAATTTCATATCAAAGAAGAATGTTGTCTCTTACACAGGATGTATGATCCAGTTGTACTTTTTCAGTTTCTTTTCCATTGCTGAGTGCTATGTGCTGACAGCAATGGCCTACGATCGCTACGTGGCCATCTGTAGTCCACTTCTGTATAATGCCGTCATGTCCCCTAGAGTATGTTGCAGCCTAATGCTTGACTCACACCTGAAGGCATTCTCTGGGGCCATGGCCCACACGGGGTGCATGCTGAGACTGACCTGCGACGCAAACACCATCAACCACTATTTCTGTGACATTCTCCCTGTGATTCAGCTCTCCTGCACCAGCACCTATGTCAATGAACTGGAGGTTCTCATCGTGGTGGGGATCAACATCATTGTGTCCAGCGTTACCATCATCACCTCTTATGATTTCATCCTCTCTAATATCCTTCAGCTGAGGTCCACTGAGGGCAGGTCCAAAGCCTTCAGCACTTGCAGTTCCCACATAATTGCAGTTGCTCTGTTCTTTGGGTCGGGTGCCTTCATGTACCTTAAGCCTTCCTCGGCTGGATCTATGGATGAGGGAAAGATCTCTTCTGTGTTTTATACCAACACAGTTCCATTAATGAACCCTTTAATTTACAGCTCGAGGAACAATGATGTTAAACAATGTTGACAATGATGTTAAACTTGCCCTGAGGAGAAGGTTGAGCCGGAGAAGGTTTTGATCAGAAATAAGAGGCTTACTCTGTATATATGAAACAAGAAGTTTTGTACATGTAATTCAAATCTCTGGCATATTTCTTATTTACCATGGGGAGAAAAACTAGAGTACTTTTAAAACAATTTATTTTCATTTTTGTGGAGTATTTCTTCCTTTCTTTACTGCACTCATAAATTTTTCACTTCACTTTTTTCTCTTATAGTAGTATTTTAGGTAAGAAATGTATAAATCTTCTTTAAAATTTCTCATTTTCAGGCCGGGGAGATGGATCAGTGGAATATAGCGCTTCCCTGGCAAGCGCAAGGGCCTGAGTTCAATCCCTGGTTCCGCAAAAATAAAAAAATAAAAAATAAAAGAAAAATTCTCATTTTCAATTTCATTTTTGCCTCTAAAGGAAGATTAGCATTTTATGATAATAAAAATAAAATAAGTTGGTCCGGCCAAATAGCTCAACGGATTAAAGCACCTCCAAGCAGGCACAGGGGCTGGGATCTGAAACCCTATGCCTTCCATGCTGGCCCTACCCTGGGAAAGCTGAGATGGCAATTGAGACTGGGTGTGGTGGCACGTGCCTGTAATCTAGCTCTTGGGAGGCTGTAAACAGGCAGATCACTATGAGTCTGCTCTAGTAGTGAGATCCTGAACACCATGTAGACCCTTCCTTAAAATACACAAAATAAGATAAAAATAAGAAATAAGTTTGTGCTGACATTTTGTTATTGCCGGGTGGATTTTCTCTGCCATTTACCCCTTAAAGTTACACAGGAGATTATGAGTTTCTCTTCCAGTGTTAACATCCTGTCCTATGTAAAAATGTGCCTCATATATTTCCTAAGGAAGAAGACTTATACAATCTGTCATCTACTGTCTACTTTACATGTACAAACCCTGTACATTAAACTTCTCTTTACAGAGAATGCTTTTGTTTACTCTGTAACACTGGGACAACATTTGAGAAAGTGTCAGAACATACTTATTGCATGAGTCAGAGAGATTATCAGAGAGGTTATGATTCTACTGAGAGTCACACAGCTTCACAGCTTACTTTGTTTGTTTGTTTGCTTATCTGTTTGTCTGGTTATCTGTTTGTCTGGTTTTTTATTTTACTGTGGTTTGGGGCTTGAACCCAGAGGCAATACACTGAGTTATTTCTTCAGCTATTTTTTAATTTTGAGTTAGGCTTTTGCTAAGTTGCTAACTCGTGTGAGCTGGGCTCCACGCAGTTACTCTCCTGCCTTAGCCTCTCAGATAATTGTGATTACAGACATATCCTACCACATGCAACAATCACAAAGCTTTTGAAAGGAAAACTCGACTAAAGGCAGGCTTCAGCTTTTAAGTCTACACCATTTTCTAGAATCTTTTTTCTTTCAACTTTATGCTCTTATTTATGTTCACTTTTCTCTTTGTTTCAGTAAACACTAAGCACCAGATTACATTTATAGTTTTCAGGTTACCTGTATTTTAGTCCAAGAAAACTGAAGAACCTATTTTAGAGTAGGTAGCAATTTTTAGTTCATTGTTCAGAAAAACAGTTTGATGGGTCTTGTTTATTGCAAAGACAGAGGTATTTCAAAACAAGATACTTGGGAGGTGACTGGCTAAAATAGTTTTGAAAGAAATATTTGGTGAATAAGATAATGTAAGGATGCCTTTTCTGGAGGGTGGTGTGAGATTATTTTCTTGGGCAGAATAGGCAAACAGTGACTAAAGGATCTTCATTCTAGTGAATCATTTGATGTTATATTTTTATAAGATTATCAATAAACTTGATATTGTACCATATTTCTAAACTATACAACAAATAAGGGCATTTTCAAATTTTGTATAACTGATTTCTTGAGCTGTTTCTTTGGATGTTCAAATTGTTAAATCATTGATTTGCAATTTTAAGCAACCAGTCATTTACTATCTGAGTGTAATTTCACCTTGCTTGATTGTTCCTCAGGAATCTTTATTCATGGAAAATAATTGCTATTGATTGCTGTGTTTTATTTTCTTTACTGCTTTTTTCATGAGAGCAAAATGTACCTAACAGTTAATATTTCTGTTGTTTGTAACCCTTTGCAGACAGTGAAGATATATGCATGCTCTGTTATCTACCTTGTCACAAACGGAATGTCACAGAGGGGTGATTAAACCCACTTTTATATCTTTCATTTTGTGATTTTCAAAGAGTGAATGAAATAAGTTTTATATTGAGAAGTTAAGCTCAAGCTCCAGAATTCATTTTTTAAGAAAAAAATCTTAGTTTATAAAACTTAAGAGAAGATAAGTAATAAAAAGAGTATTATCTGATAGCTTTTTATTTAGCAGAGAGAGCAGTATGTACCTATTTGGACTTCATGGTAATGGAAGGGATTCAGGGAAGGTACTTTATCTCCTTAACAGTGTCTCAAGTAAGGATCTTATTGGTTTTGCCTTTGTATTTTAATATGGCTGTTACATCCATCAATAAATGAATGGACCAAGGAAATCTTCCATCTATACATAGCGGGATACGCAGCTACCAAAGAGAACGAATAAATCTTAGGCATTTGTAGAACAATGGATACACTTGGAAAGTACAGTGTTAAGCAACATAGATGAGACACACAGCTGAACTGACTTCTGCTTGCCCTCATTTTAGTAATGCAATGTACAAGTAAAAAGTAAAATAAGAGATCAGTGGAAGGAAGCAATGATAGCTGTAAAAGGGAAAAACATCCATGAGATAGGGAGAGTGGGTGAGAGGAGGAAAAGCAGATAAGCGAAGACTTAAAATGTGTGGTATACATGTTCTATAAATCCACAATTAATGTAAGCATGATATGTTACAAACATGAACTAAAT